TCCTCTGTGATGGTACATTGAAAGATAGACATCAACTAGTCCTGGTTTGTATTTATATTCTAGAGAAGATGAGAAATTTGTCCCTTGCCGAAACCGGTTTGGCTCAGTGGATAGAGCGTCGGTCTGCGGACTGAAGGGTCCCAGGTTTGATTCCGGTCAAGGGCATGTACATTGGTTGTGGGCACATCCCCAGTGGGGAGTGTGCAGGAGGCAGCTGGTCGATGATTCTCTCTCATCGACGTTTCTAACTATCTATCCCTTTCCCTTCCTCTCTGTGAAAAATCAATAAAATATATTTTTTTAAAAATTTGTCCTAATTCATATAGTTAATAAGAGGAAGACCTGGGATTAGAACACATGACAGCCTGACTCCAGGACAGCAAGCTTTCAACCACTATGTTATACGAAAGAATCAGAGCTGAGAGTACACGTTCAGTGTCTGGGATGCTGATGAACTGAGTAGAGCAAGGGCGTGTGTTGAGTTGTACTGTAAGAGCTGCTACATTACAGAGATATTGTCTTCCAGCGTTTTGGAGGCCCTGTGGCAGTGGGTTGGGTGATGCTTGGTGTTTGTGCCCTGATTGGTGACGCTGAGGGTATGTGTGTTGCAGTGTGAAACACTGGGAGAGGTTTTGAAACAACTCTGAGATGTTTATTATTCATATAACAGATGAAGAAACCGAGGGTCAGGTTGGTCCACAGAGAGTAAAATCAGGTAATAAAAAGTATAACCAACAGTATTTGAAGGCTTACTACATGACAGGAACTATGTTATGATATTTCCATATATTACCTTATGCAACTGTTTCAAGAAATTATCTGAATTTTAAAGCCAAGGAAATGGGGGTTCAGAGCAGTTGATTAAGATGCCTGAGTTTACACAGTGAGTGCAGAGCCACCAGTCAAACTTTGGTCTACCTGTCTCCAAAGTCCTTGCTTTTCACCACTCTAACATAAAACCAGAGAATGTCTGACCTTCTCCTGAGTCACAGAAACAAAGTAAATTATAAATGAATGAATGAATGAATGAATGAATGAATGAATAAACAAACTAATAGTGCAGCTGGCATGGCTCAGTGGTTGAGTGTTGACTTATGAACCAGGAGGTCACGGTTTGATTCCCTGTCAGGGCTCATGCTGGGGTTGCTGGCTTGATCTCCAGTGTTGGGTGTGCTAGTAGCTGTTGATCTATGATTCTCATTATTGATGTTTCTATCTCTCTCTCCTCCATTCTTCTTTGAAATCAAGAAAAATATATTTTTTAGAAAAGGGAAAAGGACCTCATAGCCATAAAAGAGTCAAAGTGGTATGGTGGTTAGTGGTGTCAGCTATTATTTATTCCAACAACTCACCCACAAGCTTGGCATGGCCATAGAGGCCTCCTTGCTAAAATGAACATGATATCAATAGGACATATCAAAACGTGATCTAGTAGCATATACCACCTGAAGGAGGGGGTAGCCGCCCCTGCCCTCAATTCCTGGCCAAAGCCACAGGGCACAGTACTAGAGGAGGTCATTTCTCTCCCAGACCCCTTGGCTACTTGGGACCAACTGAGTGAACAGCAAAGGGGATTCAGATATTTTAAGGATGGCAGCGCAACCATCATACCTGATGAGCCTTGCTTTCTATCTGTGCCTCTCAACCCTTAAGAGACATCTCTGATAAAGGACAGTTCTCAAGGGTCCACACCATTAGCCAAATGTCAACAGTCATCTTAGCAGTAGAGGATGCCTTGGCCAACAATTGGCAACATTTTTTTTTTTTCCCAGACCTTCAGGCCATTGCCAATGACCTAGCTATCTGGTCCAACAGTGAAGACAATAACAACAGCTCTTTATTCAAAGTCACCCCCTTTGGGGTAAAGAACTATTGGAATGTTCTTGTTTCACAGATGCCCAAAAATATAAATCAAGGTCAGACATATCTTTGCACTTCCTCAATACGAGGCCTCACCAAGACACCATCTCTTCAGAGTTCCAGACATGATTGAGAGTGACCAGGGCATTCATTTCTAAAAATACATAACACAGGGCCCTTGAACAAGGCATTCAATAGAATTTCACCTCCATTACTGGCTTCAGGCTAAGGCCTCATAAAACATCATGATGGCTTACACAGAAAAGTTCAAATTTAATTAAATGAAATGACACATTTTAGCTAGTCAAACATCAGGGGTGAATTGTAATAGAGTTCATGTTTGTTAATGGGCTTGATCATCTTTTCACATGATTATTGGCTCATAAGGTAGGCAATAAAAGAATTCTCAATAAATTCAAAAGGATTGATGTTATACAAAGTATATTTTCTGACCAAAGCAGAATTAAAGCCAAAATCTATAACAGATTTGACAAATCATTAAAACTTTTGAAAATGAAACAACATATTGAGCTTGTATCTTTTTAAAAGTATGTTTGTTTTGTCCTAACCGGTTTGACTCAGTGGATAGAGTGCCAGACTGCAGATTCAAGGGTACCAGGTTCGATTCTGGCCAAGGGCATGTACCTTGGTTATAGGCAAATCTTCAATAGGGGCTGTGCAGGAGGGAGCTGATCCATGTTTCTCTCTCATCGATGTTTCTAACTCTTTATTTTTCTCTCTTCCTCTCTGTAAAAAATCAATAAATTATATTTAAAAAAATGAAACAAACATTAAAAAACAAAGATCAATAAAACCTTACAAGGCAAAAAGGGCTTTGCAAATGTGATCAAGGACATTGAGATGGGGAGATTATCTTGAATTATTCAGGAAGGACCAATCTAATCACATGGGTCTCTAAAATTGGAGAAACTACCAGAGAGATGAAACCAAAGAAGAAAAGGAAATTTGACCCTGACTGGCATGCTCAGTGGTTAGAATATCAGCCCACACACAGAATGGTCTCAGGTTTGATTCCCAGTCAAAGGCACATGGATTAGATCCTCACCCCTGGTCTGGGTAAGTGAGAGAGGCAACCAATCGATGTGTCTTTCTCACATCGATACTTCTCTCTCTTCCCCTTCCACTCTCTCTGAAAAGCAATGGAAAAAAATATTCTCATGTGAGGATTAACAAACAAACAAACAAACAAAAATTGAAGCCTAAAAGGTACTTTAACGGCCACTGATGGCTTTGAAGATGACGAAATGAGGCAGGATAATAAGAAGTCAGGAAAATTCCCTGGCAAGTGGAATGGGGAAACTGAGACAGATGGCTGATTCAAATTGATTATTGATTAGGAGGAGTTATAAGGGAGACTTCTGGTAGGCTAGAAACATGGCTGGTAATATCTTGATCTAAATGGTGTTACACGTGTACATATGCAAAAAGACACTAAGTCATACACTTAATATTAACACCCTTTGCTGTATTTATATTATACATCAATAAAATGTAAAGAAAATAGAAAAATAGATTCAACCATGGAAGTACAACTTAACTTTACCATATTTCTACATTCAGATTTAAGTGGCTATAGAATAAAGTCGCCATTTGGATGCTTTTCCACCCTCCTGGCAGTACAGGTGCACCATAACCTGCAAACCAGGTCAGGATGCAAAGACAAAGCCTGCTCCTCATCATACAGAGGAATAAACTGAGGCTGGAGAGGTGCGGCTGGAGTTCCACAGTGAGTGAGTGCAGGACCAGCCTAGAACTCCGATCTCAGACACACCCTATTCTACTCTTTGCAAGAAAGGGCTGGGTACAGTGGGTGGTGGGTATGGGTGGGTCGCCAGACAGTCCATGCTGGCAGAGGAGGAAGAGGTCAGGTCTCCGGCCAGGCAGGCAGGGCCACTCCTGGAGACCAGCCAGCTTGGAGTCGGGGAGGCTGGAACTCCAACAATCTGTGTCGCTGGTTTTAAGTAAGGGGGACCTCTATTGGGTCTCAGAGAAATAAAGAGAAGAGCCTGTGATTTCAAGATGACACTCAAGGAACCCCAAGGGCAACCCCCCCCAAAAACAAACAAACAAACAAACAAACAAACAAACCGCCAAGGGGACCTAGGGGCTGGGATGGAAAGAGAAACTTGCAAGCACTTCCTTTGACCTTGGCCAAGGTCGGCCCCTCTGGAGGATGAGCCATCTCAGCCCGGGGAGCAGAAGAAAGGAACAGGTGGGAGGGCGGTCCTCAGCCTGGTGCTGTCCCCGGCAGGACGGAGCCCCAGGCAGTGGGGCGGGCGGCGGGGAGGGCGCGCAGGAAGTCTCTCTGTCGCAGCATCAAACAGGAGACTGGCTACCACCGGGGAGGAACCTGATGGGGGAATGGGGGATGGGGTGGGTGGACGGGGGAGCACAGAGACGGAGGAGGGTCCCCGGCTCCCCCCTCCAGGCTCTGTTCTCCATGGGGATCAGTGGCCTCTATGGGGATCGGTGGCCATCAGTGGAGGGTCTATGCGCCCCCTCCCCTTCTCAGACTCCACCCGCCTCACATTCCCAACTGCCAAGGACAACTTGTGTGGCTTCCGAAGCTGGGGCTCTTCCTGCCCCCCGCCTCCCCTCTGCTTTTCTTTTGTCTGTTTCTGCATTTGACGGTTTCTGAGGTTGGCCTCTCTCTTCTCTCTCTCTCTCTCTCTCTCTCTCTCTCTCTCTCTCTCTCTCTCTCTCTCTCTCTCTCTCTCTCTCACACACACACACACACACACACACACACACACTCACACACTCTGCGGGCCTTCTCGTCGCCTTTCCTCCAGGCTCCACCTTTCCCAAGCGCCGGCGGTTCCCGGGATCTTCGCGCAGCGCCCGGTGGCGCCGGGAGGGGCAGGTGAGAGTCGCCGGAGCCCCGCCCGGGACGCGGGGAAGGTGGCGCCGGCGCCAATCGGCCGCCGGGCCCTGCCCTGCCCTCCCCGCCGCACCCTCCCCTCCGCACCCTCCCGCTCTCCGGCGCCAGCGGGACCGAGGACGCGGGTCCCTTTGCGCCCAGCGCCCGGCTGCGCCCCTGACCCAGACGCCGCCCCGAGGCCTCAGGGCTGGAGCCGCCCAGCCCACAGGCTCCCGGCGGCGGGCACTGGGGTCCCTGGACTGCGTGGCGCCTAAAGGCCGGGGAGCCCCTGCAGCTGTGAGGACGCGGAAGAGCTGGCGGCCGGGAAGGTAGGTGAGCCCCCCCCTTCCCCTCGCTGCTGGGGACCGGGATCATGCAGATCAGAGCGGGCAGGCCAGACCCCTCCTGGGCTGGACAGCCCCCGGCCGCGCACTGGGGACGGATGGCCGCGCCGGCGTGAGCTTAGGGACCACCGTTAACCTTGAGCTCCGACCAACCATCCTCTCCCCGCGGGGCCTGGGGCGCCCGTGCAAAGCCATGGCCTCCGTTCTCTCCCACCCGTTCTCCTTCTCCAAGCCAGGCTGTGGAGGGAGCAGAGGGTCGCCTCCCTTCCCTCCCCCACGACTTGGGCTCCCCAGGGCCGGGGTTGAATGTGAAGCCTCAGCCCATCCACTCACAGCCCCGAATTCCGATGAAGGTAGCGGGGAGGCAGGTCTGCTACCCTGAGCGGCCTGGCGGGTAGGGGTCGCTTGGGCAGGGCTGCTGCTCTCTCTGCGGAAACTAGGAACTGGCCTGGGATTCTGGGTCCAGGCAGGAGCCCAGATCCCCGCATTGGGAGGCCCGGATCCCCGAGCTGTGGAATCACCCGTCCCTCTAGCAGCCCCTCCTGAGAGGGTGGGGAAGTGCCTGGGGAAGCCTCTTGCCGCCCACCGCCTTCCATCGAGGGAGGAGACCTCGGCCTCCTGGCCTTCGGGCGGTGCTGGGCCTCGGTGGCCTCCGCCTGGAAGAGCCGGATCTGAATCTGCAGGATGCCAGGCACCGCCATCTTGCTTGAGACACAGACTCACAAAAATCAAGCGAGTGCTTTTTTGTAAGAGGGCCTGTTGTTTGTAGGAGGAGGCAGGGAAAAGTCCCCTATCTGTATGCATGGGGCCAAGACCAAATTGGGTGGATTTTGAAAAGGCATGCGGGTATAGGCATACGGAGCCTGCAGGGTGGCTATTGTGGTCACTCAGGAGGGAGTGACCCTCAGGCGGCAGCGAGGAACCCCGCATCAGGGCAGCGGGCCGCTCGGAATGTTAAGCACTGCGTCAAGATTGAGGATCCGTACAAACATGTGAAGGATTCATGGAATTATGTGCTCCCGATTGTGCTCAATAATAAAGGTAGCAGGTGGGAAATTCATCTCTCTCTCTCTCTCTCTCTCTCTCTCTCTCTCTCTCTATATATATATATATATATATATATATATATATATCAATATATCCTCATTCCAAAGCACAACAGTGCACATTATAGTTTCCATACTCCACTTGTCAAATGTGGAAACACACAGCACAGAATTGTATTTTCTAGAATCAAGAGAAGCATAAAGATACAGAAGTGCGTTTGTCAGTGAGCTTCCCTGATTCTTGCAGGAAGAGAGTCAGGGCTTTTCCTGATTTAATCTTCCTTCCAAACCCCCTTTTCCTAGAGTCGGACAGAGAGGCCTCCTCTCTCTCCTGTCCCAGGAGCGGGGAAGCCTTCTTCCACTCCAACCACATTGCCCTGGCTTCCCACCCTGCCAGGGCTTAGACCCACCACCCCAACATACGCACATACACACGCACATACACAGACACACACACACATACAGGCACACATACACACATACAGAGGCACATACACAGGCACATACACACGCACATACACAGACACACACATACAGGCACACATACACACACACATACACACGCACATACAGAGGCACATACACAGGCACATACACACACACACACACAGGCACACATACATACACACGCACATACAGAGGCACATACACAGGCACATACACAGACACACACACACACAGGCACACTGCCTCAGAACAAATGCCAGAAAAGGCTTTCCTAGCCCCAGGCAAGGCCCCTAAGAGGACTCCCTCACTCCCACACTGCAAATTGGACACCCAGTCCCCCACTCTACCCCCAGCAGATGGCTTACCACCCTCAGAAAGCACTGATCCTGTGACAGGAGCATCTGTTAGGCCGGGAACTTAGTCTCCAGCCCACCCTGCCTCCGACTTCTCTTCCGGCCCCATTCAGACACCAGGCTGCATGTGCCGCTGGGCGAGAGAGTTTGATTATTTTGGTCTATTGGAGTTCTCTCTTGTTTTCTCCTCCCTCGTTGCTCTCTTGCTCTTGGGTTTTGACTTCTGTTTCTCTTGAGCATAGAAAGACAGGAAACCCTGACGTCTCTGGGCTTGGAGGGAAGGGACAGAGAAAGAAGGAATAGCTGACCCCCCAGGAAGCACCCAGAACTGTGATTGGAAACATGAAGTCATCACAGTAGACCCTTCCCTCCAAGGCTGAGAAGCCATGAAGTTCCACAATCACCCCCTAACCTCCCTCCAATGCTAGCATCTTCTCTGAGAGGAACTGAGAATGCGGGGCTTCTGCAGTTTTCAAAAACAGGAAGAGGAAACATTCCTGAGGTTATTCAGGTGGTCGGTGAGGAGGGAGTCTGCAGTTCGCCCAGGAGGCCTGAGCTCCCAGAGAAATGAAATTCTCGGGGGCTGAGGCACTGGGGCAAGTCCTGCTTGGCCCTGACCTGGGCTCCACAGGGGAGCTGGGCTGTTCCGCAGGAGGTGAGATCAGGGGACTGGAGGCGCAGCTCCCTCTCCTGCCTGGATGCCTCATGGGCCCCAAAACCTATTCTGAGCCCAAAAGCAGGGATAGCTGAAAGATAAAACAATCCTGAAAACATCCAGATGTGTAATCTGCTTAGATCCCAGAGCCATGGGAAAGCGCCGGGACAGAGTCTGTCTCCTTGACCCCAGCGTCGGACGGGGGGACGGGGTGGGCTGGACGGTCAGATCTTGGCCTGTAGAGCAGAGTCTGTGGAGCTGGTTTATAGGGTTTGGGGCTCCTTCCCTCCTCTCCCCGTGGCTCCCCTTGCTTCCTTCCTGCCCTCCCCCTCCAGAGCTTTCTGTAGAGCCCCGGATCCCACAGTTTCCGAGGGTTAGCCCCCTGAGACAGCGGCCGAGAACTTCTATTTGGATCTATCAGAGGAGTTCCTGTCTGGAAAGTGCTGAGACCAAACCCGAACGCTCCTGTGGCTCTCCACCCTCTGCTCGTTAGCTGAGGCCGGTGCTGGCCAGGTCTACCAGCGCCTGTGGGAGGGGTTCCTGTCCGCCCCCCAACTGTCTACAAAGCAGAGGGCAAAAGACACCCCGACCTGAAAGGTGGTCACAAATCTCAAGCCTTTTCGTGGGAAGATGCCTGAATGCACAGCCTCACGCAGCTCCCTCTCCATCGCTCCCCATCCCTCTCCTCAGCCCCTCACAGTCAAAACCACAAGGGGGTCATTAAGGCCATAGCACCCCATCCCCATCCCATCGCCCCTCCTGGGGTGGCCTTGTTGCCCTCTTCGGAGCCCTGGGCTAATGTTCCAGGCTGAGTCGGAGGCAAGGGCTCAGTTCAGAATAAACTGGGCATAAAATAATAATGGTGAGAAAAATTACCATGAATTCCAGAGCCTCCTCCATCCTGAGAAGTTTCTCCTTAAACTAGGGCGGAGGCCAGGACCATGGCCCAGCCCTCAGGGACTGACCCGAATGCCCCAAACCCTGAGAGAGGGAGAGAAGCCAGTACCCAGAGACCTCATCCTGGGATCCAAACGTCCAGCTAGTAAGCTTCGTACCTCTTCCGCAGTCCGTCCCTCCTCCCCCAGACGGGTCTCCTGGGCTGGGTGGGCCCGAGGGAGGGAACGAGGCTACTCCTCGGAGCTGAGACTCTCCGCTGGGCCGCTCCCACGGCTCGGGAGAGACCATGTCCGGCGTTGCTGCTGCCGTGGGTCCAGGTGCCTGGGGGTTGGGGGGATTGGAGAAGTCGTGGTGAGGGGGTTTGATACCGCCTGTAGAATGCGCCCCACGTCCCCAGTCCTGTCTAGGGCGCCCTAGCGCGGGGCCAGCCGCGGTCCCTGGGAGCCGCACCCCGCAGCGCTTTGCGGAGGGTCAGCGCCTTCCCCGCAGCTGGGCCGCAGAGAGACGGTCCTGGGCCGGCGCCGCCCGCACTGCGGCCGTCCCCGCTGCCGTCCCCGCTGCCGTCCCCGCTGCGATCGTCCCCGATGCCGTCCCCGCTGCGACCGTCCCCGCTGCGACCGTCCCCGCTGCCCTCCCCGCTGCCCTCCCCGCTGCCGTCCCCGCTGCCCTCCCCGCTGTCGTCCCCGCTGCCGTCCCCGCTGCCCTCCCCGCTGCGACCGTCCCCGCTGCGACCGTCCCCGCTGCCCTCCCCGCTGCCGTCCCCGCTGCCGTCCCCGCTGCCCTCCCCGCTGCCCTCCCCGCTGCCCTCCCCGCTGTCGTCCCCGCTGCCATCCCCGCTGCGGCGGGAGGGCAGGGAGACCAGATCGCGGCTGGGGGCGGCGGCCCAGTCGCAGCCTCAGAGTTGGGGGCACCTCGGGACTCCACGTCTCCAGCCGCATTAGAAAGGGGGGTTTGACATCGAGCCGCAGTGTCCAGGGCGAAGGGAGGTCGCAGTGAGCACAGTGTCCCTTCCAGACTGTCCTGCGCTGCTGCCGAAGGAGGGTGCCGGGCCGGGCGGGGCGGGGGCTCTGTCCAGCCTCCGGCGGAAGGAGAGGCTGGGCCAGCGCCTTGCCCCCAGCGGGTCCGGATCCTCGGTGGCGCGGGGACCGCGCAGGCTGGGCGGGGGCGAGGGAGAGGGGGGCCCGCGGTCGGCCCCCGAGGAGAGTGGGTCCTGGTCTCTGGGCCCCGGCGCTCCCTCCAGGCCCATCTCCCGGCTCCGGTTTCCCTCCCAGGTGCGCCTTTCCTCGCCACAAGCCGCCGCTCCCCCGCCCAGAGGCACCCCTCTCTCCGGCACCCACTGATTAACCAGAGCCCTGGGGAGGCCGAGGCGCTGTAAACGGGAGGCGTAGAGCGAGGGGGCGCTGGCGGGGCCGGTCATCTCCCGGGAAGACGCGGACCGAACCGAACACGAGGCGCCCTGGCCGCGAGCCGGCTCCTCCGCGCCCTTCTCCGCACGCGGGTTTGGCGCCCGCCCTGCTCGCCCAGCGGCTCCAGCTCCGCCTGCAGCCCGGCTGTTTTCCTTCGCTCTGCCCTTCCCCTTCTCTCTGG